TTTAAAATGAAAAAAAAATTATCATTGTTTTTGGGTTGTTACACGATTCATTGGAACAATCGCAACGAACTTGTTTTCGCAACCATGAATCGCAACAAGCTTGCGTCGAAACACATGCGGTCAATATTATATCCAACGGTTAAAACGATTGTTCTGTGTCAGGTTTGACTGATTGGTGGATATTCATCGGTTAAACTTATTGTCCAGCAGTGAAAAACCAATTTTGTGTCAGTTTTTTGAACATTATAATTGTCTTGTGACGGTTTTCAACATATTGACATATTTAAACAATTTTTGGTCAAACACAAGATGGTACACTTTACGTTGAGAACGGACAAAACAAATACTTTTCATTTTCTTTTTTTGTTCTCAAACTTCTGAGTATTATCCAAATAAGGATTTGGGAGTACCACCCAAATACTTCGATTTGAAAGTGTTCAATACGATCTCAAAATTTCCAAGTGTCTTTAATCCCAAATCATTAACATAAATAGAACCATATTTCTAACATCTCACATATGCAATTAACCTACTACACATTTATTTATGTTACCATTTTCTCTATTAAATTATTTCAAATCTATATACGCAGCAAAGCGCGATAAACATATCTTAGTTCCCTTACGAAACACAATCACAAACACATGCACAGGTATGAACTGGATTTTTGTAAGACCATTGCCGCGTGCCCGCGTTTGTATCTAAAAAGAGAAACCAAAAAATCTGTAAAACAAAATTTATTATTTTTTAGGGAATTATTAATATCTACTTTACATTCTTTTTGAAGGAAATATAACATATAAACCAGCTTGATAACAATGATGCTATCAATAATTAATTCTACATCTAAGCAAATTATAATAAATTTAAAAGTTTTTTTTGGCTCGATCACTATTTCTATAACTTTTTAAGCTTTCATATACCTTCCTCCTATAAATCCCCACCTCAGTTTCTCTCAAACCTTCACCAAAATCTCTCTTTCTCTCTTTCTCCCTTCATCAATATCTTCACAATGTTGCCAAGAAGTAGAACCATGCCATCAAGAATCCTTCATGGAGTTGTAAGTTCAATATAAATATGTATATAACTCCATGGTATTTATTTCTTTTTACTTGAAATAATTTATTTATATTGTTAGGTCGAAGAACGACACGATATCATGCACTATTGGAAAGTTGATGATCGAACTAATGCTAGCACTGAAACCCAATCCATGAACATTGAAGACAATTATTCAAAGAGTTTCGATGATGATGGTCGTTTAAAGCGTACAGGTTCATATCATATATTAATTAATCTATAATTAACCATGTCTAAAGTTCACTAAATTTTCAAGGGCTTATCATGATTTTCTCGTGAATTATAAGGTACTTTTTGGACCGCATCATCACATATCATCACCGCAGTGATCGGGTCAGGAGTCTTATCCTTGGCATGGGCCATTGGGCAACTCGGTTGGGTTGTTGGACCAACCATTATGATACTGTTTGCTTTAGTTATTCTCTATACTTCTAATTTGTTGTCACAGTGTTATAGGTCGGTGACCCAGTCACCGGACCTAGAAGCTATACCTACAGGAGGCTGTAAAGGCTCATCTAGGTACAAATCATTCTAGGATTATATTTAAATAAATTGAAAGCATGAATGATAAGAATTGAGAACTTAATCATATCTTGATTGTTTTGTAGGAGGGCGTAAAGTGAAAGTATGTGGCATGATACAATACATCAATTTAATTGGGGTTGCAATTGGCTACACAATCGCAGCCTCAGTTAGCATGATGTAAGCCATTATTTACTTAAGTTGATGACCTCCATTGCACTTATATATATAAAAAGTATGTGAACAATTAGAAATCAAACTTGACTACTAATAGATTTGTTTAAAAATCTTGGATTTTCTTGACTTAATGATTGATTTTTACTGGATATTAAGATAGATTATAAGGATTTTATAGTAAAGTTATCGAAATTATATTAATTTCAGGGCGATAAAAAGATCAAATTGTTTTCACAAAAGCCATGGAAAGGACCCATGCCATATGTCAAGCAACGGATACATGATAACATTTGGGATTATAGAAATACTTTTTTCCCAGATTCCAGATTTCGATCAAGTATGGTGGCTTTCCATCGTTGCAGCTATTATGTCATTTACTTACTCTTTTATCGGTCTTGCACTTGGGATTGCAGAAACGACAGGTATGTATGTATAGAATTTTAATTCATCGACGTTTATATAAATAGAAAAAGAAGAATCTTTATCTTTTTCTCATTTTATCTTGTCCCCTAAAATACACACAAGCATATAAAGGGGCTTTATAAGATGATAAAAATGATCATGATATTTGTTGGTAGCTTGAAATATTGTGATTATGGTAGGATCAATGATTAATGTCCTAAGCCTAACTCAATGATAAAATCTAAAAAGTATACAGTGAGACCCGAACTAATCATTAGGTTCAAGATTAAGGTGGTGTTTGTTTTTTCGAAGCGAAAATGCATGAAGTTTGCGGACCAACTCTGCAATCCTCTATAGCAGAAAATGTGGACCAAACGGCTGCAGCATGTCATAAAAAGTTTGTTTGTTTTTTAAAGTTTGCAGACTGCTGCAATAAGTTAAAGTAAGATGTGAAGAGGTTAAAAGCAGATGGTCAAGTGTTGCGCCACACAGCACACGCGCAGCAGGTTTTAAGTTAGAAGTTTTCTGAAAAACAAACTGCTGCGAATGACCAAGTGTTGCGTGTGCTGCGCGGCACAGCAATAAGTGGTCAGAAGTGGTTTTTTAGAAAAAACAAACATCACCTTAGATACTACTTAGAAGGGTTTCTAGCCTAACGATATAGGAAATCAGAAATCATCAGGTGTTGTCCTTCCTGTTCGAGGTTAAGGGTTCAAGTCTGATTTAGGATATAAGTGGAATTAAGAGTAGCTTACAAGTATATATACAATTTGTCAGTTCCAGAAAAAAATTGCACAGCAGAATGAAAAAGAAAAAGAAAACTTTGGTTCTATGGAGAATTGCAAGTTATAGTTTATTTGATAATTCACGCTTCATTCTTGTGATTGCCTGCCTTTTAAAAAGAAATGATAAAAAAATAAAACTTCAACTTATAATTTATTTCAAATGAAAAGAGAGGATAGTGAATAATGACGAGAAGTTGAGAATCTTTCTTTTTCTAGAACATTTTAGTTGCAAACATCTTTATCTTATCTTTATATATTAATGAATTGTATCAGTATTACAAAGTGTATAAAGATGATGGTGATACTTATAATATAAATATTGTGTATGATTTTTTTGTAGAAAATAAAGAAATCAAAGGGAGTTTGACTGGGATAAGCATAGGAACATTAACTCATGCCGGTACAGTCACTGCAACCCAAAAGTTATGGAGGAGCTTTCAAGCATTAGGAGCTATTGCTTTCGCATATTCATATTCCATTATTCTCATTGAAATTCAGGTTCAAATCAGATCATTTTCTTTCTAAAAATCTATGAATATGTTATGTAAGTAATATTAATATATATTGACATGTTGCAATAGAAATAATATACTTATTAATCTTTTTTAAAATTCTATAGGACACAATTAAAGCACCTCCAGCTGAATATAAGACGATGAAAAAGGCGACTTATTTAAGTATTTTTGTGACGACGGCATTTTATATGCTTTGTGGGTGTATGGGGTATGCTGCTTTTGGAGATGAGGCCCCAGGGAATCTCTTAACCGGGTTCGGGTTTTATGATCCGTATTGGCTACTTGACATAGCCAATATCGCCATCGTAGTGCATCTCGTTGGTGCTTATCAGGTATCAAAATATTTAAATCTCTATTTCATGATTAAAGCAGTTTACCTTTTGAGTTATTGCGTATATACCATTTTTATTGTAAAGACAAAAATACAACACTATTCAATGATAAATGAATTTAAAGAAAGATGTCTACGTACATATTTTACATTTGCGTGTCTACAAAATGCATGGTTTCTTTCTTAATCTTTCCTAAAAGATGATCATTTTTATGATAGTTTCAAGTGTAATGATGTTGTTATAACATGCTAGCATTATTGTTTCTGACTTTGTAAAAACATTTAGGTTTATTGCCAACCATTATTTGCATTCGTGGAGAAATGGAGTGCACAAAAATGGTCGAATAGTGATTTTGTGACTGCGGAATATGACCTCCCAATTCCCTTTTATGGGATTTTTCATGTCAACTTCTTTCGTGTTGTGTGGAGAACTATTTTTGTGATTGTTACCACTGTCATAGCAATGCTTATGCCTTTCTTTAACGATGTGGTTGGACTACTAGGAGCCTTAGGGTTTTGGCCATTGACAGTTTACTTCCCTATTGAAATGTATATGTCTCAAAAGAAGATCAAAAAATGGTCAAGTCAATGGATAGGGTTTCAGATACTCAGTTTCGGGTGCCTTTTGGTTTCTATAGCAGCGGCTGTTGGATCGGTTGCAGGAGTTGTGTTAGATTTGAAGACTTACAAGCCATTCAAGACCAGTTATTGAGGTTTGATGATATATGCAATCTCTACAAGAGTTTTAATGGACAACTTTTGATGTATTCTTATCTTATGTAGATCAATGAAGTGTTAATACTTAAATTTGAAATATTATGTATTACTAAATTCATCTCACTAATAATAACGGCGAATTAGGAACCAAATAACCCCAAGATCCCCCATCTCCTCCTATCTTCCATAAATCCATCTCACTTCTTCAATCAACATTTTGTGGCGTCGTTATATATTCTTACTCTTGTTGTGTGTTAATTCTTCATGGTTTCTTTTCTTTTTAATTTCATACCCATTTCATATTCTTTTTAATAAAAGGATAGCTTATAAGCTAGTTTATAAATTATTTTAATATTCTCACAAAAAACTAAATAAGCTCGATAATATACTTGAATAGTTTGAGTCCTAACTCGACTTGAATCAAGTCAATTTCAAATATCTCAAGAACTAGCTCAACTCTTTTACAAACAAGACCTTTCAAAACTCATATCATCAAAAGCGAATCAAACCTAACCGATAAAATTACATATTGTACTCAAGATAATAACAAAATTTGATTTCCTTAATTAGGATAAACAAAAAGGAAATGACAAAAGAATGAATCAAAACACATTATCACATAAATATTAACTCCAAGAAACTTTTACAACTTCTATGTATTCGACTTAGATTTTGATTTAGATGATTTCGTCTGTAAGGCTGCAGCTTTCACAAGTGTTGTTGGCTTGATTGCACTCTTCGGGTTCAGTGCTTTTCGTAGTTTAAACACAGCCCAAGCTGTCCCTATCGCATGCCCTGCTGCACCCATTCCTTCATGTGTAACTTTTGCTGCATCTTCCCCATGCCTTCATCACCAATTACCATCAATTAGTTCAAGAAATAGCTATTTACTTTCATTGATTTCTTTATATTACAACAGAATTGTATTTTAATTATATGAGAAAGTGTGTTACCTGTGTGAAACGTAGTCCGTTGTGACAGTTGATGTTGTGGACATCACGTTTCTCCCTGCAACTTCAAGGGATTCACATACTTTATCTGCGAACAAAAACCCAGAAACAGAATTGAGAAATGATTCGAGAATTATTTATGGTAACAAAAATAATGATTTAAGAAGGGAGACATACTGAAACCATCCAAAGACGCGAGAATTATTTCACCAGGGATGAAGTTGAAGAACTTCTTGCCGGGTTTGGAGTTCACGAGGGAACCTGTGATGAATCCAGATACCTTCACAACACCAGAAAGAATCCCGGTTGCTACGCCTTCTGACATCTTTGTCAATCTCTTAACCCTGAAACAAAATGAAATTGAATAGATACGGAATTAGAAGTGTTCAATGGATAAAAGTAATGTTGTAGAAGAAAACAAGATGATACCTCTTCACTCTCTTCAAAGCTTTTGGACTAACTTCAGATTTTGAACCAGGTTTCGTCCTCTTTTTCAAAAACTCGTTTCCCCATTTTAATCGATCCACAGTCACATCTCCACACCACAAAATCCCCTTGATTAACTGACCTGATCCCGCAGCAATCATCCTCGCAACAGACCCACTATAATCCTCAACATTTGGCGCCAATGTCGTCCAATACGCCGCGGCTTTAGCCTCCGCAGAACCACCATTATCCACCGCCACCGCTGCCGACACACTCCTCTTGACCTCCTTCACCGAAAACGCACTATACTCCTCTAAAACCCGATCGAAGTCCACTAACTCCTTCTCCAGACCTTTACCCGAAATCGTTAGCCCGTAATTTAACAAACTCTCAGATTCGAAATCCGAATCTTTTCCGGATTTTGTATCGGAAGGCACGCGAAGAGTGAAGAAATAGTGTGATCCGTCTAATTTCACGGCGGCTTCGTCTTTCGCAAGCGGCCATTGAATTACGTCGCCGACACGTGCTAAGACAGCGACAACGGTGTTCCCTTGGCGGAGACGGATTATTTCTAATTCCCCGGAAGCAAGTTCGATGCTCTGTTGCTCATCGATTAGATGGATAATTGAACCTGGGATTTTGATAATAACTTCCTCAGATGATTCGAATGGCGACAGTAGTTGTGGAGCGTAAGACTGATGGGTGTCAACCAACAGATCTTCGTGGATATCTTTCATATCAATAGTTGGGTATAGAGACGGAGCAGAAGGAGAATAGGATGATGATGAATAAGAATGTGTTGAGGCTGAATCTGGGTGTGATTGAATTACTTCTGGATACAGATTTCTAGGGTTTTTTAGGTTTTGCGATGCCATTTTTGATCAAATTACCAGGCGGATACAAGATTTGGGGGATTTTTATGAAGATGGAGTCTTAGAAATTAAGAAACTGCAATCGCGTAGACGAGTGGAAAAACGAGTAAGGTGCGTGGCCCAACAGCACGACTTTCTCCCTCCTTTGAAACAATTAGTTTAATTATTTTACTAATAAAAATAACTACATAACATAAATCGTGGATGTGGTTTGGTCAATTGGTCGTACCATCATTTTCTGTCATTAATTATCTTGGCTAATTCTAGGGTGTAAGTGAGCCGAGCTACTCGTGAGCTATTCGGGATCGACTCGTTAAAAGCTCGACTCGAGATCGAATTAAACGAGCCCGAGCCGAGCTCGAGCCTAAATATGAGGCTCGTTTATTAAACGAGCGCGAGCCGAGCTTCAATAGTAGGCTCGCGAGCCTAAACGAGCATATATATATATATATATATATATATATAGAATATATATATATATATATATATATATACACACACACACCACACACACACACACACACACATATATATATAGTATATATATACACACACACCACATATATACATATATATATATATAAATATATATATATATATATATATAATATATATATATATATATATATATATATATATATATATATATATATATATATATATATATGAAGGCTCGTTTAGGCTCGATTAGGCTCGCGAGCCCACTAAATTGTTCACGAGCCGAGCTCGAGCTTCATTTTCAGGCTCGAATCGAGCTCGAGCTCGAGCTCGAGCTTCCCCAAAATTAAACGAGCCGAGCTCGAGCTTGGTCAGGCTCGGGCTCGGCTCGGCTCGTTTACACCCCTAGCTAATTCAATCGTTCAATTTGTTTATTGTACACTCTTATATTTATCGTACCATCAGTTTCTGTATTAAGTATTTGTCTAGTTTAGTCTTTGTGTACCGTATATTCGATTTTTTATGAGTGATGTGTACTTTTTTATGAGTGATGTGTACCGTACATTTGATTTTCTTTGAGTGATGGTACATATAATAATATTTATTATTTTTCAACGGAGAAATGATACAAATATCCCATAAAGTTTTTAGGGTTAGTTTTTTTTTTTTGGAACGGCAAATACCAAGCGGAAGCCCTTCCGCCATTTTACAGCGGAAGCCCGGGTTCGAGCTCCTTTACAGGGCAAACCCTCACCCTTTTTAATGGGATTCCAAAGGAAAATTCCCCATGAGTGGCCACCAATGGGAGTCGAACTCCCCACCTTGCCCCTCAATGGTTATAAACCCAACACCTCTTTCCCAGCTGGGCTTTTAGGGTTAGTTGATTCAGTATTTAAAGTTATTGTTTGACTTTATGGGGTATAAGATAGGTTATCACCTGACACCTGCTTTATTAGTCTCTTTCAACATGTAATAGTCGGTACACCATGCGATAGTGACCATTTAGACCAAAAAAACTCACATTTTGTTCCTATAAAGCCAAAAAAAATAAGAATAAGTTCGGAGATCAAATGCTTATGCCACTAGATCGAAGTGATTTGAGAGAAGAAGAAACCTAATAAATTGGATAGCTTCACATGAGCATGAGCATGAGCAGATCATCAAGAAATGGGGAGCTGATCGGCAGCTTCACAACCCCATAAGCCACAAGAAACGATATGATCCACAATGGAAGAATCCAATAGTTCGTTCTATTTCTGCAACTGAGGTTTTCTTCTCTTTTTCTTGTTTTCCGGCTAGGATTGACGGCGGCGGTAGTGATGTCGCGGGGTTGATATGGCGAACTTGGGGTTTAGTATTTGGATTGGTTTTATAAGAAAGGGAGGAGAGAATGAGTGGTATGTTAATGGTGATGGAAGTTAAGCCTATCATCTCTCGCCTTTTGCTCTCCAACGACCAGATGAACAAGAATAACAGAATTTTTGTTATCGTTAATTTCATTATCAAGTTTCTTCTTCTCCCAAATCACTTCGATCTTGTGGCATAAGCATTTGATCATCGGACTTATGTTGTTGGCTTTATAGGGGCATAATGTTAGTTTTTTTGGTCTAAATGGTCATTGTCGCATTGTGTATTGGTAATTACAGGTTGAAAGGGCCTAAAAGAGCAGGTCGTAACCTATTTTATACCTCCATAAAGCCAGTCAATAACTTTAGGGACTAAATCGATCAACCCTAGAAACTTTGTAGGGCATTTGACCCATTTCCCCTTTTTCAATGAGAGTCGTTAGTCATCTTGCGATGAATATATGATTAGCGACACTTATCTCTCATACCCCATTTAATAGGATTTTAGAGGGTTTTTTTTGTTGCAGTTGTGTATTTATTATAGTTTTCACATATAATACAATGTGATATATATATATATATATATATATATATATATATATATATATATATATATATATATATATATATATATATATATATAGAGAGAGAGAGAGAGAGAGAGGACTCTCGCATGGTAAGTTGTGGCTCTACCACACCACATCAAGTCAAACATTTTCCATGCCCTAGGGGCAATACTTTTCATATCATTACTATATCATTAGCATGACGAGTATATCATAGAGTCTAACGGATAAAATGATTATATTGTATTTATCTATTTCTTTTGAAATATATATATTAGTGGCTTATTTTCATAATTTTAACAAAAGTGACATGAAATTACTAATTTAGCCATTATTATATTTCTTTTATTAGTTTTCAATTTCTGTCTTTTAATTTAAATAGATAAAAACCCAGTTCTATATACCCACAATTTTATCTTCCCTAATCTCACCCTAACCCTAATACCCACCACTTTCTTCCTCATCCTCTCTAAAGAACCACTACCACCTCTTACGGACATCGACGATAGTATCTTTCCAACCACTGTTGCCAGCTTTGGTGTCCTTTTCTAGTGGTGGATCCAAACTGAAAGTTAACTAGGTCTGCTAGTGGGAGCATTTTCCCGACTACTTTGAGTAGTTTCTGGCAGTTACCAACGACTGTAATAGTTTTCGACAGTTTCATGAGACTTTGAGTAGTTTCTGGCCATTATGAGTGGTTTGCGGCGACTGGGTGGTTATTTCCGGCTTGTTTTCTTAATATAGTTGTGCACACTAGGATAAAAAAAGAATTTTGTTATTTATTGATGCAAGAAGTGTTGGTATTTTGTAAAGTGGGGCCAATTACGTATTTAATAACTATAGATGCAAAGAAGTTACATATATATAATAGGTGTAGCCATTCCAAACGAGGCTATACACCGTACTACACAAAGGGTAGCTCCACTACTGCCTCTTTTTGTCTCCCATATTTCTCTCTCATAGAACCAACTCTCTTTCTCTTTCACAGACACGATTTCTGGCAGATATGGTGGATGCGGACAAGATCTATGACAAAAATAGCGGTGCTAACCTAGCGGATGTGACATCCCCAAATTCACAGTCATTTTAAAAATTTTATTTATGCTTATTTGAAAATCAGAGTATTCATTTTAAAGAATAATATTGCGGAATTTATTCCCATAAAACATGATAAATATATTATCAAAGCATTTCCGAAGAAACGAATTTTGTTTATATAAAAACTTTGGGATGTCATCGTCAATACAGAAACATAAGCATAAACAGACCTTACATTCATTTACACTAGTGACTTACATCTCCTTTAATCTCTTAGTGTAATGTAGCTTCGTATTGACACCTGTGATACAAATAAAATGAGTGTGTCAGGTTGGGAAACTTGGTGAGTACATAGGGTTTTCAACCCACAATAATATAGTTAAACTGTTTCTTCGCATAACTCATGTCAAACAATTAACCCGATTACCCATCCCCATTTTCTTCATTTAATCTTCCCTAAAGATTTATCCTAAGGGTCATCTCCTACATCATATTTACCTCTTATCTCCTTGCATCGCATTTCCTTATATGTTTGTTCGTAATGATTTTTCCTAAGGTTCATCGCCTACATCGCATAGACAATACTGATTCGGGGATTACTCCCTCAATACGTGTTCAGTAAGGGTTAGGGTATCATCGCATGAATACGTAGTTACAACATCGCCTGAACTCGTAATTCATAGTAAGGGTTAGAGTATCATCGCATGAATACGTAGTTACAACATCGCCTGAACTCGTAATTCATAGTAAGGGTTAGAGTATCATCGCATGAATACGTAGTTACAACATCGTCTGAACTCGTATTTTATAGTAAGGGTTAGAGTATCATTGCATGAATACGTGGTTACAACATCGCCTGAACTCGTAATTCATCACCTACAGGTTATGAGCCTGCTGGTGTTTCCACGTGACTGTCTAGAATAGTCTGTGGTCGCCATTTATACTCTGGTAGATGACTACATCGCCACATCGCCGATCAAGGTTATGGTATCTCATCTCATATCACATCACCTATTTATCATCACCTATCTATCATCACCTAATTATCATCACCTATCTCTCATCACCCGTCGCTACCCAATATATATTTATAAGTATAAAAATACGTATACAGTTTAAATCACATAAACATGTATAAATCGTTAATATAGCATATATATCAGGAACACAGATAATATGCACACATAACACGTAATTTATATTAAATACTTCATATTTATGTGTAAGATGAAAGTAACTATGCACTCACTTGTTAAAGTGATGATCCCAAACTCGGGCAGCGCTTCGCTTCTAACAATTTTATTTTCCTTCGACGAAACCTAGTATCATTACCGCTAGATTTTAGTCTAATATTTATCGCGACTATTTACAAGCGATATTGTTTTATAAGTGTTAAACAATACTCTTCAACCACTATGTACGGACAGGGGTCAGACATGAAACACCGGAGGGAAGGACCATTTTGGCATTTAAGCACTTCTGAAATCCAACAACCCTATGCGGCCCTTCAAACAATATTCCCCGTACCGCAAGTAGTCAAAAGATATTATAATAACACTTTTATAATACATATATTGTTTATAGGTTCATAATAACGATATTAAACTTAAACATAAGCTATACTTAAAGTAGGGTAAGCATAACTTACTTACTAGGAGGTTTGGCTAGGAGCCGGGATCTGTAGGGGCAGAACTTCTGAGCCGAAAGCTCTTCTTC